TTGAAGGAGTTGGACTTGTGTTTTTTGTGTATTCCTTAAAATTTCATTCAAAGGCTCCGAACTCATTAATATCACTTTTGACACTGCGCCTTCTCTACAAAGTTTCCAGGCGTTCTAGGAGCGTATGATATCATAAATAGAGAAGGTCTCAGTATTGTTTCAATAGTAATGTTTTTAAAGTGTACTTAATTTTCCTGTTTTATTAATAGGATAAAAGTTCCAATGTGAGGTGATTGTCATATCAACAAGGACCTGAATGATATGATTAGCCAATTTACGTAATGCTTGTAGTAAATTTAAGGAAACTTATTGGTTTTTTTTCCAACGGGACATTTGCTTCATTTCGTCCTAATCAAAAAACACACGTTGACTTTTTTACTCATTCTATTGAAAAACTCTGTTTTCGTCCTCATCTAATCAAATAAACATACTAAACGTGAAAGAAACTTTTCATATCCTGTAGACATTTACAACATGGCCTGTGATCTGTAATTAGTGAATGAAACTAAATAGAGATCGCGCACGCGTGAGCTCCACGAGTTCTTAACAGATTCCCACATAAGGAAGCAGTAGTGGGAACCATGCGAATGCTAAAATTGAAGAAGCCGAGACACATATTTCATTTGTTAATTGTATGTATATATAATATATATATATATATATATAATATATATATATATATATATATAAGAAATATAAATCATCTGTTACTGAATCAGAAAGCTATCCCCCTCAGTGGTACTGTTGTGATTTGTCCAAGTAATTTGACTACACTGCGACTGAGAGGAACATGTGAAAGCAACAGTAGCTTTCTCAATATTCACGCTTCTCATTCCAAAACAGTTCTAATATCTTGAGAACACACAAGGTCTAATACAAAATATGCTATTTCCTTGGGTGGCCGTTGAAAAGAGAAGCATATTTACGATTACGCATGGCCTACAGGAAATCAATCGGATTCAACGGAGAAAATGTTAGTGGAGGGGAACGCTTAATTGAGGTCTAAAGGTTTCACTATATTTGAGTAGCGTTCGTCGGAAGTTCTTCGCGCGCAACTGTAATGCGTAGTTATAGATTCGTACTTTATATAAGTATTATTATATTTCTTCTACATCACGACTAATGATCTAAGTTGACTTGAATAATAAATCTGCTCAGGTTGCAACCAGCTACTTAAGAAGCAGACCTAGGGGCTGTCGTTGCTCTACAATATTTTGCGCAAAATGTGGGCTGTTCTAAATAAGCAACATCTTGCACCTCGCAGTCTTTTAAATGACCTGGAAGTTTAGCTAAGGTTTACATAAAGTTTGCGAAACGAATCCCAAAGCTCCGATACATATCGCGAAGACCTGGCGTTTTACGCTCCACATTCGGGAGATTCTCGATTCCAATCTCTTTTATTTAAGACGTTTCTCTGGCTCTTTGGTTACAACGTTTTGATCATACTATAAACAAAACGTACACACACAAAATTTGCAAATTTGGTAATCAGATACGTTTTTCGTAATGAAGATTATGAAACTATGTAATCATGTTGTTACTACCGTATGTTTTCACTATGACGTGTGTAGTGTGATCTCTGGGAAGTCAGCTGTGCTACGTGGGTTACATATCGCTTTCTCATTAATATTATTCGGTCGATACAACTCAGGATAGTTGCTTTTTATGGATGTAAAGTAAAAGATTAGGATTAAATATAATGTATAATCAATGAAAAATACAAACATAGGAAAACATTCTTTGGTACTCAACAATACCCTTTAACACTAAAAACATTAAAAACCTTACGACTCATTCTAATTAATTTCTTGTAGTTCCTGAAAAAACACTTTTTTACTCTCTCGCTATGGAGTAGAGAGAAAATTATGTAATGCTGCGCGAAAATCGGAGAATTTCCAGCAGAAAATAACTTACTGCGGGGTTAGCACAGTAACAAAATGTGGATAAATCCAGATGCAAAATTCAGAAAAAATCCTCTTTTACGTGTTGTAGCCAGAATCTATATTTTGTGGGTCCTTAATACCGAAAAATCGAATGACATAAAAACGTAAACAATGCTAGGAACTAAACCGTGCTGACCATTTTCTCCAAAATCGATATTCCCCGGTCGATATGGCTGACGGATCCTGGTGTTCGAAACCGATATTTTAATTTTGGGAGGAGCTGCACATATATCCCCTTTTCAAACTTTCATGAACATTTTATTGTTGAATAGTGTAAATGACGTTTAAGATTGTCTGTCTTAAGCGCCGGGAAATGAATCTGTAATGAACAATTTTCCCAGGTGGAAGTGATGTAAAACAGTGGACTGAGGGCATGGCCCATTGTCACATCAGTCACTCCCATCATCCCTCATTAGCTCACTTAACTTACCTTCAAGAAGGACGATCAACTGCATTTGTACTAATGTTAGCCTCGTGTTAGCCTGAAAGTGAATTGTTTCCGTTTCCGCCACCATCACTCCACAATTATCAAACACGGGTGAAATATGTATAATTTAATCATTAAATAAATTGCAGAAAAGCAAATCTGGAGATTGCTGCATAAATCAGACAATACAAATACATAAAAGACTGAGACCATAAGGTGCCAATGTGGTTAATGATCACGTAACATGTTTGCACAAAGTTGAGAAATTATTAGGATGACAGCCTGTGAAATTATAAAAAACAAAGAATACAAAATGTTAACGTGAATATTACAGTAGCTGCAATGCGGTGGGCATTAATGTAAGTAGTGATGACACGTGGGAAGGGGCCACAGCAGGAAGCGTCTGGCGAGGACGCCAAAAATCTTGCACATCACCGGCTGGAGGAGTGTTACCATTTACGTAGAGCTGAACAGCAAGACACCGTAGCACATTATAGCACAATAACAAAACCATGTTGATGGTGTGAGTTTGATAGCACGTAACCACTGTTCATAGTCGTAAATGACACTGTAAACGTTGCTCATACGGGAGAATTGTGAGTTGATTGGCATTGTGCAAATGATGCGCGAAGAAAAAAGTCACTGAAAGTCATTAGTTTTACTGAGGATGAATTCAGATGCGTGAGATGAGATTACAGTTGATGATTGTTGCACGTATGAGTGAGTATTGCGTCACATGGTCCTAGTTAGTTGACTTGTAACTGTTCAAGTTAGTAAAACACATTAAGTAGTGGTTAGTCGATTGATAAAAGTTTTACTCACGAATTCACTTCAGATTGTAGTTCAAAGTGAAATAGAAAATTAGCCAGGCGTCGCAGCGTGTCTTCTTGTCGCAATAATGTTTAACGATGAGCGTGTTGGCGCAGCTTCAGGTTTCACACGTGGTTGTTCACAGTTAATAAATAAAGTTGCATTGTTCGAATTGTACTAACACATTAGACGAATTAACACATTAGGAAGAGTTTCGTACGCGTATGCACAACTGAATTTATATATATTTATCATATCTACAATACTATTATCTGGAAGATATAAAGAAATTTCATTTCCTTCATAAGATTGCACAAGATTTTTCATATCTTGTGCAATCTTATAGAACGAACCTGAAAGGATGAAGTTGCATAAAATCCTAATGCTCTTATTATTAATTAATTCTTAATGCTATTATTAGCATCTTCATAAGAGGAGGGATTGGTAAGCCACTCTTTGTTTCATTTCTTCTTTTGTCAATGAAGAGGAGACAAGATAATGTTCAACAGTGATATTACGAAAACGAAAATACTTTCTCAATTATTCTTCATTGTATATTTCCATTATCAGCATCTCTGATACTATTCATTATGCGGACTATATTTTGAGTGCACAACTCAAAATACTCCAAGAAATCATCGTCATTGCCTGCGTTGTCGTGTAAACGTATGTGTTCGTACACTTCACATAACCAAAGATAGTTGACCGTCTGGTGAATGAGGAATACTTGAGGTTACAGGGAACCTACCTTATGCAAATGAGTCACTCATTTGAAAATAAGAACTCTTTATGAATCGGAATCTCTTAGTTTAGGAATACTTATTATAAGAAACGATAATGAATTCGGCCCTGAGAATTAAAACTCAACAGTTTGTAATCAGTTGACAAAATTAATTACATAATTGTAAAGTATTTTAAATTGTGGGATTTGTGGCATACATTCCGTAGCTAACTTATCAAATAATTATCACTGTATGAATGTTTTAGAACATCTTAATCATTTACAAATCAGAAGTCCTGTTTCTTGTAAATTTAAAAGTAAAGTTGTTTGCGTTCAATTAATAAAATGAATTGCATGATTATAAAGTATTTTAATATGTAGAATTTATAATATACACTGCGTAGACAACTGGCCAGGGTATATAATTTTATATGGACGTTCCAGAACATTCTACGACTATATTCGGAATCGAGTGTTAATGAAATTGACAGAACCTGCTTGAAATTACTTGGAACTAGGCTTGCATGAGCTAAACGAGTTTCTTAAGCTACGAATGTAGAATAAGAATACATTGTTAAATGGTTGCTACCGAAACATAGTCATGATCAGATGTGCATATTGAAATAAAATAAACGTTTCATAATAAATTACATCTTGCTTGTCTGAACATCCCCTTTTTAATTTTCTTTTGAAATTTCAGAATGTGTATTTTCTTTATTTCTATTTCGTAATCAATTGTTATTGGTCTGCAATTATTATAATGTTAAATGTATCTACAGTCTATATTAATCCTAGCCTCTTGCATTTCATATTTGTAATTTCATTTGCTATTGATGTGTAATAATTATAATTTTTAATGTATCTATTATTTATATAAATCCCCTCCACTTTGTTTTCTTTATATTTACTTTGTATTTTCTTACATTCTATTTTATTTATATTTGAAGACTGATGACTGCAAAGCCGTCGACAGCCGGCTCTCAAAATAAATACGAGAAATATGACTTCCATTATTTCACGTAATTACGTCAACAACACCAGATCAGAATTCTCACAAGTTATTTCTTATGCAGCGCCTCATCTCTACGACGAGAACGACCGCTGACGCCAGCAGCCCCACGAAGGGGACGATAAAGGGCAATGTAATATCTCCTATTTGCAGAACTTGTGGAACTCTGTCGACTCCTCCTTCAGTCATCCCGTTGTATCTCAGCAATGCCTCGTACTCTAGGGTGTAATTAGTCATCCAAAAATCTCGCAAACCTCCGGCGTCCAAGTGTAGAGTCAGAAGACTGATGACGTCATTCCATGGCCAACTTCTAAAAAAAAAGACGTAATTGTTTGGAGCTCAAAATAAAAAGAAAATTATTTCCAAGGATGGAAATTGCTCACATCCACACAAAAAATTCCACCAAAACCATCTTACTAGAAAAATAGACTGTACTCCCCCCCCCGAGAATTAAAAATACACACGAAGTTATAGCGTTTAATTACAATATATATCATAAAAATGTTTTTACAATACTACCGAAATATTACAGAATCGAATCGGCAAATTAACATTCCCATTTAAATTCTGATACTAAAAATAGGGGATCAGCGTCTGCAAATTCATGTTGTGATAGGCCAAAAAGCCCCAGATTTAATTTGAACATAAACGGCATTAAGAATACACTCAATAAATGCATTCAGAATACGAATAATAAGTCAATATTAACTCAAAGAATACACGACAGGGCGATAAGTAAATAAGGTATTTCATGGTCGCAAGCATGACATTTTTATTACGCACAGCCCCCTGTAGTATATGTAGAATAATGCATGGAGGAGGCGCGGAGGGGTGTATTCTTGTAAGAATTTTTAATCATTCTCTTATGCCAGCTGCCGTCGAGGTCCCGTCGACGAGACGGCACGATCGCCATCGGTTAGCATTGGAAATATTATTGTTAATTACAGAGAAGTGCGTAACATTAAATTGGTTCCGATATTCTTCAGAACTTTATATGGTATAATCTAGAGACGTCAAAAATATTTTGTTTGAATGTTAAATTAAATTTGAGTAGACTTGAGACTCAAAACGGTATTTATAGTAGAAAAGAGTCGCAGACGAGTGTTGTATTTAACAATTCGTGTTGGGTGTAGACAGTCCCGAATAGTTACACATGTGGTACAGAATAGAGAAAGTCGCGATCGCGTAATAATTTATTGCAATTTTTTTATGAAACATCTGACTGATAATAGGCAGGTGACATTTTGTAATCTCAATTATACATCAGGAGACAATACGGTAGGAGGGACAGTAACAGGAAGGACGAACTGCAATTAGACCGCATCAAGGGAGAAGATCCGGAGTACACCGAGAAGTCAACCATGCGTGCGAAGATCATAGTATGCCATGCACAATATTTCTTAACCCGCATTATTGTATACGAGTGAAATAATATCAGAATAATTCATGAGCTTATTGAAAAATGTAAACCAAATTTATTAAATAAAATTTACGTTATTTATTTTAGAAACGGCTGATAATTTATTTCTAATTGCTATGAATTCAAAATAACCATATTCAATTACCATGACCTTGAGAGATCACAATCCTGTATTGATAGCACGATCAATGTTTTGTGTGTTTCCATAGCGTGCCCAACAAGGAACGTAGTAATAGTGGAATATTAAATCAATAAAAGGGTTTATATAATAGTAATATCAAGAAAGGTAGAGATACAATCTTTGGTATTTCACAAATGAGAATATTTACTATATCAGCGGGCACTTCACAGTAGTATGTTATAATCAGTGCTCTTAAAACCTCATGAAACGTGAATAGTAAATGTGATTCTTCCGTCATCAATTACATCAGATAAAATTAGCTTTTACACATGGTACAGGGTAGCAAATTAAACTAGTGTGGATTCACGCACATAGCATTGGAAATGCAACTGTAGATGGAATGAGGAAGTTGTCGAGCACAGATGAGATGAAATCGAGTTCCTACTCATTACGTACTTGCGAAATTGAGAAAAATAAATCTTGGAAAATAAACCTCAAGGAAGTGCGTTATGAAGAAGATACAAAGGTTATTTTTTTATCTCCGAAATTTAAAAAAAATTGCAAATCGGATCTGTACTTCTTTTGTAAAAGAGATCTACCTGAAGAATTAAGAGAACACCGGTTGCAAGATTAAAAATATGATGTCGTAAGCTTCCGCGGCCAGTCTTGACCTGGGTTGTCCGGGTGACGCCACGTCTGAAAATTGTTACACTCCCATACATAAAAGGCGTCACTGACAGAATCGCCAAACTCCCGAGGCGATTTTAGACCAAGACAGTTTTCAAGGCACACCAGAAGCTCGGACAAACCTCAAAATGCTTCAAAGACTAGCTTCCACCGCTCCAAACCGCCGGAGTATATTCTATCCCTTGCAGTTGCGATCACACTTACATCGGGGGGACATGAAGAACCATAGGCGAAAAACTACGCGTGTAAATCCGTGACTTTCGATTCAAAAATGTATATCGCTCCGCCATAGCTCGCCACGTATGGGAACCTTTTCGGTAGGAAGGCGCTCGCCCGAGAGCACAGGTGGTTGTGCAGGTGGATCAAAGAAGCATTAGAGATTGCTAAACATCCCCAAAACATCAACGGGAATGCGAGTTAGTCTCCACGATGCCTGACTCACACCTTGCGAGGTCGCCGGAGGCCGCGCGACAGAACCGCCCCATGCCGTCCAATCCCTGAACATTCCGTGATACCCACTGGACCGCTCCCGCCCGTACATTCCCCATCTCCCTCCCTTTCCACACGGTCGCGCCCGATTAACCGACACCTCAGCCTATCACGACCTGGCTCGGCCCCGCCTGATTGACCGATCACGTATGTCAGCCTCAGCCTTGCCCACCCTACTATATAATCCGGAGCGCCCAACATCCAGGCGCACTACAGCCCTGAAGAAGACCGCGGAACGTCGGCTCCTCAGTCTTCGACGCGGCCTCACCCGGACAGCTTAGATCACCAGATTAAAACTACGTAAACGTTGCAAACTACACGGACAAGTATGTTACGTAGACAAATATTTTTCGCAAATTAATAAAAAACGGCTTTTTTGCATTTTACATGAGTATTTTTTATTAGAGCAGGTATTGAAAACTAAAAGTTCGTCTAATTAATGTGCTTACCTCGATGTAGTCCAGGATTGGAGACGTAAACCAAGGTTATCTTTCATGACATTAACTTTTTCACCACCCATTTCCTTTTTCTTCCAGAGCGGTCGCATTGTTTTCGTTATAGGGACTGCAAGTGGCTTTCTCACTCTGAAAACTGTATTTATTTCATCGAATTCAATGTTTGTTTTTTTAATATTCACATATTTTTCTTTGAAGAGAGAAAGTAATTGAACAGATAATTCATCGTAGCTTGCTACTGGTATTTCCAGTTTTTTCAAGTCTTCAAATGTGTTCACTGTTGGGCATGTCTCTGGACCAGTTAGCAAAGCGAAGAGGCGGCCCTGAACGAAGCACACAGTTTGAATGTAACAGAAGGAACAGTATTAAAAGACAGAAGGAAAGAAGAAATTTGTTTGAATCCCTTACATAGGTCCTATATCTAAACGTATAGAACAATGTTTCACTAAATACAATATCTCAGTAGCCTACAAAACTTTAAACTCCCTCCAATATTTATTCTCTAGTTGCAAATCACCCAATTCCAAATCACCTATCCCGCCCATTGAAAGCAGTGGCATTTATCACCTAACTTATAATAACTGTAATAACTGGAATTCAGCATATGTAGTCCAAACAGGCAGAAAATTTACAGTTAGAATTAATGAGTATATTAGATGGAAACAAAATTATACACTTCCACCTTTGCCAATCATTTGATTTAATTTAACATTTCCTGTGACCCTAATTATAATTTTAAAATCCTTAACTTACTCAACAAAGGCACAAAATGAACATTTTGGAGAATTTGAAAATTCTAAAACTTTTCAAAAATACTAATTTTTCTATTTGAATGAACATTCCTTAATTAAAAGCAGTTCCATTTAAATATTTTATTAACTAGCTCCTAATCATTGACCTGATTTTTTTTTGCATCTCTTATCTAGTCAACTTGTTTAAAATTTGTTCTTTATATAATTTAAAATTCTAGAATCTTACAAATTCCCAATTTTCTGTCCGGTTTTACATTCCTGTATGAAAAGCAGTCAATTTTAAATTCGGTTATGTTCTCTTCTGTTTCCCCCCCTCTCCCACAATTGGTAGGATTACTCTTCTTCCATTGCAAAACATTGCTGCCAACTAGCTCTAACCAGCATGTTTTGCTGTTTTCATATTTTTTGACCATGTTGTGAACATTTATGAGTGATCCACGTTGCTTGGGCAGTAAGTACTTTCAATTTTATTTATTTGGTATTGTTTGTTTTTCACTAAGATCACTGTATTTCTTTTGTTCAACTTGTGTTAATATTTCAATTTTCTCCTCCTTGCTAGTCTTGCTTTGCTAGACACTGAGGATGGGAAAAGTGTTCCCGAAAGTTAACTCTAGGTAATAATTAACAAAAAATATTAAATCTTTTGTGGACGATTATTTCCTTTACCATATAATGGATTACCACAACGGAATGCTGCCACCACGTAATTTACAGTATCGAAGTTTGATTATATATGGGCTTTTCTAATTGAACGTATGGAAACTTAGGGATTATTTAAGAAAATTTCAAAGAAGGTGCCAATTTGCAATTTAAATCCGTGTTATCTCAAATTCACAAACTTCCTAGCACATTCCACAAACCCACTTCATAAGAGATCGAATTAATGAACATAGAAGAAACATCAAAGATATAGAAGATCGCCAAAATTCTCTATCAAAATATAGAATAAGTCTAAATCGTGAAATAGGTTTTGATAATATTTTGATGTCTTATTATTACTTTTATTATTATTATTACTTTTATTATAATTATTATCATTAATATTGACCACTATTGTATTTAACGTTATGGTAACTGTAAAGTTGACATTATATGGGGAAGATATGGGGTGAAAAGACAAACACAAATTCAATCGAGGTCAAGGCGATACTCGAACCCGCAGTCCTTTGGTTCGCGATAGCTACGGTACTACTGCCTTAGCGATCTCGGTCACCGGATCGGCTTGATAATCTTTTTATGTTGAAACACGATAATAAATCTCGAGAAATAACAACATTGGAAACTGATCATCAAAATACGTAAAGTTATTAACATTACGTTAGAATGAAAACAGTTTACGAATTTATATGACAATATTTTAACTAAAATTAGAGAAATAAAAATAAAAATTAACATAATGTACATAAAATTAACATACAACTTCATCCAACGATCATGCCCTCTGCTCAATCTTCTTAAAATCCCTGAAATGACGCGATGTGTTTATATAGTGATGCGATACATAACATTAACAGAAATATGAAATCTCCTCAAAAGCCAGGCATCTGCTCTCCTATTCTCTGCATTAACTTAAATTTTATTTTAAAGTATTTTAAGGAATTTAATGTAATTTAATGTTTAATTCTAAATGAATTGATTTTATTGCATTTCAGTGCTAATGATTTTACTAAACAAAGCTATGAAAAAGATGGAGAATAGAATCTCCGAAACGAAGTAAAGAGTTTTCATCTGCATTGAAAAGCAGTAACGATAATAAATGTTCAATACATGTTATATATTACTAGAAATCGAAATGTTCACCCATTTGAACACTGTATTCGTATGTAGTGTTGATCTACCTGATATACGCTAGCGACGATGACAGCAGAGGTGAGCAGCACGCTGGCCAGCTGCAGTCGCTGCGGCGTCGACGCGACACGGAGCTGCGGCGGGCCCCCGCACGAGGAGAAGGCGCGCAGCGCCGCGGCCACGCTCGCCGCCAGCGACTCGCGCGCCACCACGCGCCACGCCAGCGCGTACGCCAGCACGGCGCCCAGCAGCGCCGCCCAGATGGCGCCCCCGAACACGCGCAGCGGCAGCGACCACGCGGGCAGCGGCCCCGGCAAGGGCGGAACCAATAATATTGTTTCAACAAAGCACGTGCCTTGAATTATCCTTTCCATTGGATTTGGAGAAGAATATACTGGAATTATAACTACTGCACCCCTTGCAAGATACTCTTCATACATACAATATGCGAAAGAGCTATTAGGAACCTGCAATCAAAATTAATTAGGTGGTGTATTCCTATAACCATTTTAATATTTCGATAGATATTAAATCGTACAAAAAAATATTCAAAGTCACTGATACTAAAAGAGAAAAACATCTATGCTATAACCAGTATAGCTCGGTGTGCAGTATGTCGTGGACAGAGTTGAGAACTGAACATGTTAAAGGAACTCTAAGGAACTATCCAGTCTATGTAACACTTTCTTACTTTTTTTCTAGAAGTGAAAAAACGTTATACTACACCCCAACGTCAAATTGCTATGCTCTGTGTACTAGATTAAAATACTATAGTTTCGTCATGAAAAAGCCTATAGACGCCTCATTTCAAATACACAAATATTTCGAGTTTTTGATCATCTCTAATCATTCTTGCATATTATGAAGTAAGGTAAAAGAAGGTTTAAATCTTTAAATACGTAACAGAAAAATCAATTAGGCCTCGTTTCCTAAAATACTGTCTAAGAAATACAACTCCGGATTCTATTTCTTCCTGTATATTTCCCACATTCTCCTCACATATAATCCAAGAATTTAACATGATCATTCAAAACTTTAAGTAATCGTTTATTACACAAAACTTTAATTAACGTATTGGATGCAGCTAGTGCAGCGGATTCACTGGTGTATTGAACGGGAAGTTCTTTTCGGGGAGGATCTAGAAATGCTGAATCCCCAAAACATGTAAAAGGGCCGCGAGGGAAAATGCAGATTCAAAAGTACAGCTCTTTTTAAAATCATGGTTTGAAAAGTGGAAATAGATTCGATTTGCACTAAAATTCAACTATCAACGTGGTAGACGAACAGTAGCGAAGGAAACTTTCAAACATGTAAACGAACGCTCAATAGTATTTTCTCGAAGATTACGACATAGAAAACAATTCGTGTTCACCGGTAACCTGAATTTAAAACTTAAGAATAAAGAGACATAAAAAATGAAACAAGTTTGAATAAGGTTTTTTGAGCCTCCGGGAGTTAGTAAAGAACCTGAGAGGTTGGGTTTTAACTAGCGCCTGGGTACAAACAACATTCGCGCCAATTAAAAAAAAAACACAAACTCTAGCTAAAAAGTACTCGTTGACATGGCCCTACGAAGCAAAATCGTGCGATAATGAAAAAATATTAATAGTGCTAACTGTGATATCGTGAGTTTGTCAAAAGCTGCACTTCCATTTACGATTTTCCATGTTCTTAATTTAAGTTAAATTAAATCGTAACTTCAAAAAGCAATGAATCTTCTGAACACTCAGATAGTGCCCTCAAATTTATGGAAATGTAAAGAGAAAAAAGAAATAGGACATAGTGTGATGCATGCCAGGAAGTAGTGATTATATTAGAAACAACACCAACGAAATCGTAATATTACTTGCATATTATCGGTAACTTCAGAAAATTTAAAAATTACTTCAAATTTAATAGAATTCGAATTGTAAAAGCTTCTGAATCCGTATCCCATGACAACAAAAGCCCTTCCATCGTGTTACCATGTGAGGGTGCAATTGTAACGGTGTAACGTGCAATTATAATGTCGCTGTTCACAAGAAACATAAGTTAGAGTAAAATGTGAAGCACTGGAGATGCACATTTACTTTAACCAACATGTACTGTGTCTGCATAATTTTTTGCACGAAGAAAAGTATATAAATGATTTTAATAATGGTATTAATCGTTGATTTTTAATATTTTTTCTGAATTTTACAGTAAAATAGTGAGTCGTCAGGTTTAATGAAATGAAGATATTATGGTTACGTGAGGGTGATTGGTGACATAGCATTATTTGCTCTAGAGTTGGGAAGACTGAATTCCTTTAAGACATTTTAAAATGTATGAGTTAGAATCAAAGAGGAGATACTTTACAACAGGTAGGAATGGAAGGAAGTTCACTCCTATCTAGTAAGAATATCTTTTGAAAACTTACACTGTCATGAAGGGACATGAGCGTGTCGTCAAGCACAAATGTCATGTTGAAATAATCTTCAATTGCTGCGAGATGGCGGAAATACGGACCGTAGATATTATTTGTACCAGGAATTCGTGTTATTCGAAACATAGAAACATGAGGATACAGGGGGTGCATTTCCATGCCACCTGCGTCTCTGAGGCAATTCAAAGCTATATTATTTACAACTAAATGTGGATAACTAATTGTAGGTTTAATCCAAAGAATACTTTCATCAATCCAATGTGGAGTTACTTTCATGACAATTCGTGTATTCGATTCAATCAATAAAACTCTGAAATATGCGCCCATTTCCCTCAGAGCGTGCAGTATTTTATGAGTTAGAGGATTTATTTCATTAGCAAGACCAGTGGATAATCGGTGGTTTTTGTCCCACAGGGAAACGATGATCGGTGCATTTTCTCTAAAAGTTAAATTATACATCTGAAATATAAAGAAAAACCAATAAGTAAATGTGCATAAAATCATATAAATTAAGATTTTCAATTATTCATATCGGAAAAAATTATCATGGCCACATTTTAATATGACTTAAAAATTATTGACAGTGACAAAATTATTGATTCTTTACTTTTTATAAAAAACCAGAGTCGTTAAATATTGATTAAAACGTATTCAATGAAATGTCAATACCCCTAAGTGAATAAATCCAAGAAAACTGTCCTACTCTCTTTTTTAGCTTATTATATCATTTAATGAAAACATATGCAACAAGATTATCTTAACATTACAGTAAAAATTCAGCATCATAAAATTCTATTTTCAAAATAAAAACGAAAATTTGTCCCCCAAAACAAAATTATTTTATTCAATTCCTACTCAAATGATGCAAGTCTTTACACCCCAGTCAGCTATCCGATTCTTTCTTTTCTTAAAATATAAACAATGTATGGAGACTGTGACCCGGCAAAAACAAAGTTTAAGTTCTTGAAACTCACCATAAGGACATTGCATGATGTGTGATAAGTACCAATTTCTTTGATGTCCTGCTCAAGAAACTGGAGCATGCGACGTTGGCGGCTAACACGTAGGCGTGCTGCTGCTCCAACCACATAGGCGCCGGGACTTTCGCGTGGGCAGAGAGCGGGCGCCACAAAACAACAGGTGATTGCGATTTATGTTGCAACGCTCGCAACCACCGCTCGGCGTCACCGAGGTCCACAACGGCCACCGCCCCCGCTGCCCAATCGCCGCGCATCCTCGGGAGACGAAGCGCCAGTAAAAGGCCGCTCGCAGTCACCGTTTTGAAGGGCATCTGAGTCGCCGCTTTTCGCAGCGCCCGCCCATCAGAAATCGAGCGTTTCAATACCGAGGCTTGCACTGATGCTGATGCTTCCACTGAGGCTCTGGATGAAGCCGTATCTTGGCCTGTGGCTGACACAAAAGCTGGGGCCCGGGATCTGAATGAGGCTGGAGGATCATCTGGGCCTGAGTTTTTCGTTGGCGCTGGGGCTCTTGTTAACACTGGAGATTCCGATGGGGCTAGAGCTCTTTCTGAGTCGGGGACTTTATTTTGAGCTGAGGCTCTAGTTGGAGCTGGTGCTAAGTTTCGGGTTTTGTATGGAGTTCTATTAGGACCTAGGGCTTTAATAGGAACTGATGCTCTGGGCGAAGCATGGGCTGGGACTCTGGTTAAGGCTGGATCTTTGGAAGGTGTTGGAGCTCTGTCGAGAGCTGGATCTTTGATTGGTGCTGAGGCTCGGTCTGAAGCTTGAGCTACACCAAGAGCTCTCGTAAAGGCTGGAGCTTTGGATTGGGCTTTAGCAGTGGCTGTGGTTGGGGATCTAATATGGGATGCTGCTAGGGAAAATAATGGATTCAAAGGTGTTGAAGGGGTTGGCGAGGAGAGAGCACCCAACGCAAGAATTAGAGGCACCAAGAGAAACAGCTTTCTTCCGAGCATATTTGTCTGCAGCAAAACATTCAAATGGTAACTTGTCAAAAGAGCGGTAAAAAATATCGGTGCTAGTTTAAAATATTTTAATATTTTCAACAATACAAAATTGATGATTATTTTTGCTTTAAGCAAAAACCGTTTTAATAAATTAGCTTGTGCGTAATTTGTGCTTGAATATGATACATTTTCAAAAAAATATTTTTTCAATAATTGATATAATATTTACTGTCTAGCTACCACTACCGCGCTAGAGAGAAAGTTGTGTATTGCTACATGAAAACAACGGAGAATTTTTAGCAGAAACACTCTTTATCACAAGGCCTTGGAAACGAAAAAGTGGATTATTCTAGATGCTGAAATTAGAAAAAAACCTTTAATACGTGTTGTAGTCAGAATCTATGTTTTGTGGGTCCTTGATATAGAAATAGTGATGCTCCAGAATGGCACAGACTTTCTCGAATTATTTTTCTATTGTTTTGGTCTCAGCTAGCTATTCGGACTTCCCATATACACTTGCTAGCTGCCATCTATCGCCACCCAAAGTGCATTTTTTGACATTCTCTTAAATTTTTGGTTTCGTAATAGTATAACGGAAATGTTACTTTAGGAATATTAAATAATAGTAAAACCTCATTGCAAATGGCAAATTTTCTTTGAAAACATTGGAGCCGTTTTTAAGAAAATGGCGTTTAAGCGCATCTGTCAATTCAAAATTCGAAACTCTTTTTCACAAAAAATGTTTAAGTTTTCGAAAAACTTCATCAAATTAATTTGAAGCTGTTCCAGTCACAAAAGCAAGAGTGTTTACAAATCGCTGAAAATGTGCATATTAAAGGTGTAGGAGATATTTAAAAAAGTACATTTGTATAATTTTCGAAAAAAAAAATTCTCCGAAATGAACTTTACGTGATATTGAAGAGTGCAATTAGCACTATTCGTTCGTA